TTTTATTTTTCGAATTCAAGCTATAATATTTTTTATTCTAAATATAATAAAATTTTGATTAATTTTCTTATTTTCATTTCGGTTGGTTATTGTCTTTGGATATGTAAATATATTATTTGATATGTAAATATATTATAGTTAAATTATGTATAACTTAATATATATTGTGCTTAAAATGAAATAAATAATAAGCTGAAGTGTTTGAATCAAAATTACATAAATGAATATAATGATAATATTTTGAAGTCTCATGCATATATATAATTTCTAAAAAAAAATAAATTGTAATTGGTTAATATTTAATTTTTCTTTTTAATATGCTTTGAGTCAACCTCTAATTTATATGTATAAAATTGAATACATCATCATTATTATTATTATTATTATAAAATTTTATGTTCTTGTTGTAGTTAGATGTTTAATTCCCGATAATTAAATTAGTCGAGTCATGCATTTTGTGAGTATATTGAGTTAAATATATTTTTAAATTAAAATGGAAGTATAATGACTTGTTTTAGTTAAGTAAAATGGAAGTATATTGCTTAAATTTATATGTATTTCATAATATTTATTTACTCTTTATTTCAGCTAAGTCAAATCAAATTAGTTTTATTTATCTCTTAAATATACATCTATTTTCAAATATTTATCAAATTATATGTTGATTTCTAAAAAATATTAGAAAATAAAATGTAACTGATAAAATTTTGGATGTTCATGAACATATATATTTTTATTATTTTGAAAATATATTTGATGTTATTTATATATATATATATATATTAATGGGGGTATTACTATTTTGTGAACTTTCTTTTTTAATAAAGTCATATTGTATACATATATTTTTGTTTTAAAATTTGTTTTAAAATTTTAGAAATATTTCCTTTTCATTATATATGTTATTTGATAAAAAGGTAAAAAAAGCCTAAATAAAAATAATAATCTTAAATCTAACAATTCATTAACGGTATCTGTGTAATCAACCATCGCGAGAGTTAACGTGAGCGCGACACGTAGGAAACTGACTTCTCAAATAATATTATAGAGATTTATGTTTAGTATTTGCATACTTTAAAATTGTTTTATGTTACTAACAATTGAATCATGCATATATCAAAAGATATGGAGAGAGCAAAATATATCTCTACCTAAAAGGCTACCAACAAATATTGAATAACTCAGTTAACAGGTATACAAGTCTATTTTACTAACATCTATCATTAAACATATCTTATTTTCATGGCTGCTTCCAGATTGATATTTATTTTTTTCTTCTGGCAAAAATAAAATAAGTAGTGTCAAAACACCTATAGTATCAGTTTACAAAAAAAAAAAAAAAACCTAAAGTATGTTGTGATTTATGTTGAAAGGCTGTTTGAATAGCAAGTATACCTTTTGGTTCATTTATCAATGGTCCAAATCAACATATTTTAAAATTGATATAAAAGTAGAAAACTAAAAAAAATATTTTTACATAAGAAATATATATATATATATATATATATCAAACAAGAATTCATAATTGGTACACTCAGTATGCTCTAATAAAATCAGAATTTGGCTAAATATTTGCAATCCGGAGTAGAAGAAATTCTAGGGGTGGAAGCGGAAATGAATTTCCATAATATGATTTTGTGTAGACGGTTGTGTATTTATAAAGCAAGTAGATCAATTCTCTGGAGGTGAAAGTTGAGTTCTTCTTCTTCTTTTTTGTTAAAATTGAAAATCGAGTGTAGTTAAATTTAAACACATTGGCACAAAAGTGTAAATATCTAATTCCTTATTTAGACATGTTTTACAATACATGAGAAAGTTTCTGTATATTTAAGCATAATTACCACAGGAACCATTGTAGGAGAAACATAACCAGAGCTAAACAAACTTGCAATCAATATAATTAAAATATTTTTTTAAAAACAAATAAACCAGATAAATTCTTATTAATAAATAAGTCAGTCCAAAAAAAAAAGAAGAGTGTTATTAACTCAAGTATATATGTTGTTTACAAATTTGCAACACATTTGGGTATTAGCATGAATCCATCAATAAATTTTGCTACAAACCGTACCCATATTCTATTACTTATATTTGTATGAGGTTATTTTATTATAATTGCATCTTGCTACAGAACACACATCTTTTCTCTTTCTCAATCCACAAATCTGATGTGGCAATTCAAGGCTTCTTCCCGAGAAATATTGTTATGCACATCATATTTTTTATTTGTGTTTGGATCTCACTATGTTCTCTATTTCTATCAGCTTTTATTTATCAAAACTCACTCACGTGCAGGATTTTCTTCAAAAACTCAAGGTTATAAATGTGCAAAAAAGAAACACAGAGTCTTCTTCTTTTCCAAATCGAAAATGTGAGACAGCAAAGACAAAATGGATATATCAACGCTTTTCTTTGTCTCATATGTTACTCTTCAAAATCTATTTATTTTTGTAGGTTTTGTATGCCTAATTTTTGTCTATCTTATAATTAATAAATAATGATTGACTAATGCAGATTTCAAAAGATGTGAAAAAATCAGAGAATCTAACACTACCCAAAAAAACTACCAACAAAATGAAATTACAGATATAAATACCATATTTTACTGAAAGGAGCAGTACATTTTTAAGTATAGTTTTGTATTGTTTCACACGGACTGATGTTTGTTTCTTTTTGTTCTGGAAAAGAAAAAAATCATGATGATAATCATTAGCATGAACCTGGCAATACATTTTGCTATAAAACACACTGTTTTAACATAATAAACTAACTAATCTTTTTTTCCCGGGTGGAACACTAGTATAGATATATAAACGAGTGTATCCAAATCTTCAAGGTCTCAAAAAAAAAACAAAGAAGAGCATCATCAACTGAAGAGCTGATATACTTTCAGTCTTTTAATATTGATTTAAAACCTAAATTGAAAAACCCCAACCAATTGGAACATACAATTATGAAAATGTCTTTTGAACATTTTTTTAAAAAACACAGACTTCATTTAATTCTGGTAGTTAGGCCAGAGCCATTACAACATCTTCACCTAACAGGATAGCCTTTGCTAGGTTATCAGCTATGTGATTTTTCTCTGTAGAAATCCATTCAAAACAAATAAACTCAAAGCACTCAGTCATGAGTAAAATATCTGAGACTGTGCCGTAGATTTTCATGTTTGAGTTGTTTTCCTTGATGGCTTTGATGAGCTGGGCTGAGTCTGATTTGCACCGGACTTCCTTAATTCCCATGTTCCTACAATATCGAAGTCCTTGTCTGAGAGCAAGGCTTTCGGCTGCAAGTGGAGAGCTGGTACAGAGAATAATTTCTGCAGAGGTGTGAGAGTTCAGATTCGAGAATAGATGCCAACCTAACCCTGCGCTCTTTGTTCTTGGATTCCAAGCTGCATCTGTCTGGAGCGTGAAGCCGTTCCTGAACTGCAAAGATGAATCAACAGTCGGAGTGAATCGGGGCTCGAAAGTTTTTTTGGTTTGATTGGTTTGCCATTCACGAGCTGCTGAGATTGCTTTAGAGAGCGTTTCTTCAGCCGATATGGTTCTGTTATTGAAAACCAAAGCATTTCTTGATATCCAGATTTGCCATAAGACCCAGGGAGCTAGTGGCCCAAGCGCCACTCCTGAGGGAGGCAGACACGATTTTGAACATAGTTGGAACCAGACATCCTTTAAATCTATGGATCCACTTATCCCACTGTCCTGGGTGAAGGGGGCTTTTTCCCAAATTTCTCTCGCAAAGGGACAGTGTAATCCATGATTTTTTTTTTTTCTTTTCCAGAACAAACATCAGTCCGTATGAACATTTTTTTTTTTAATCCTTGATTTTTTGCGTCTTTTCAGGGAAGAGACTAAATATTTCCAATTTTGTTTTTTGATATTTCCATTTTCTTTTCATTTTCATTTTCACTTGTTCTCTCTGTCCTACTTTATTCATTCTTTGATTGTTAAAAACGGAGTATTATTTAGAACCGATGAAGATAACCTAATTAATGGTTTCCAACTCTAGGATTTGAGCCTGATCAAGGAGCCATCGCAGTCCCTTGAACTCATTTCAACTCCTTTTCACTAAAAAAAAATCAACCATATATTACATAAGAAATCAGCTACTTAACCATGATTACAACGGCACACTAAACCAACAATCCAAGTAACCCAACTATATACTTTGATAATATCATTACATATTACATATTGCTATACCGCTATCTCTTAGAAACTACTATTGTTCTATGTTGTTAATCGGATTCGCTTTCAATGTGCGATGCTTATCTATATCACCATGTTTTACAAATGTGTGATTGAATTGTTAGCCACCGGAAAACAGTAGGCAGATCACTTTACTAAAAGAAAACATTAGGCTACTCATTATATCATAGTGATAGGATAACAGTTCGTCACTTTAACATATACAGTATATGGACATTGTTTTCAAACATATAATATACAATATGGATTGATGTTGAAACTACGTGGAATTCATTGACAAATTATTTTAAAATGGTTAAAGAAAGAGAACACGTGGGAAAAGTATTGTAATTTTGGAAAGACTCTGCTAGCCGCAGTGCATTGCGTTTAAGAAAATAGATATTAATCACAAAATAATTCAAAGACCATAGAGTCAGCCACAGTGTATTACATATAAGAAAATAACTATAAATCACATAATAATTCAAAGACCATTTCACCGTAACATATGTCTTGTTTTGTCTGGAACTATTTCAATCTCTCTTCTTGTATAAATATATGATTTCGAACCCAATCTCTCCATCAACATTCTTCTCTCTGATATCTCTCGTTTCAAACTTTTGACCCTATACGTACGTGTAGTGTCGTACTCATCTCTCTCTTTTACGTTTTATCGCAGCGTGAGAGACTGTAGGGCAGTGCCAATTCCACCACTTGCGTGTTTAAGCGGAGATAGAATCTTAGAGGGATCTATAAAGTATCTTCCTTTCTTCTTACCCATCTCTCTCTCTCTCTATATATATATTAATGTTTGGGACTCTCGGAAAACTCGAAACCGCGAGATTAATGCGTGATTTAGGGTCTTCATGTGGTGGATTTGAGGACATAGGTATGAGAATGGAAGGCGAGATCATTGTGCCACACGGAGGTGATGGAGAAGGGGAACAGCTGACTGAAACGGCACCGTTTCAGCAGACGGAGAGTCTCGTTGTTGGGTATGCTCTGACTCCCAAGAAGAAAAATAGTTTCTTGCAGCCCAAGCTTGAAGTCCTGGCTAGGTAATCAAACACAACACAAATGTTACATATAGACTTACATAATAGTTTCCAAAACTGTGTTACAATCTTGGATGTGTCTCTTTTTCTGAGAGGACTGTTCTTTTGTATGGCGTGTATAAACAGAATCGACAATGTCTTGTCTAGTTTCAAAAGTATATTTAGGACTTTGACATTTTCCCTAGATTTGGTTCTTGTTTCCTTACTCTTGTTTTTGGTAAGAGCTATTGTTTGTTTGCATGATTCTAATGTGGAGGACCATAGCCACTACCTATTGTCTTGTCATGTGCCATGTTTTGTCCTTGCTTAGACATACACTAGAATACTTATGGAATCAGGAACCTTGTTTCTATGGGAATATTCCCTTTTTAATTCCTTTCGGATTAGTCTCTGTTTAAGTTTGACTTTAGCTTCCTTTAAAAAAACATACTTAATGTCTTGCCTTTCCTATGGCTTGGAAATCTTCTTTAACCATATGGGTGTTTTAGTTAAAACAACGATTCTACTTAACATATTTCAAACAAGGACATAATACTTTTGCTTCATTTCTTAAATATTATCACCCCATAGCTTTCAATTTTTGTCTTTTTCCAGCAAAGGTTTTGACCAAAGTGGTAACAGTAGTACTTTTGTGTATATTTTAGGAGAAAAGGCATTTGCTTTGTCGCCATCGATTTGAACCGTCCACTTTCTGAACAAGGACCATTTGATGTCGTTTTGCATAAGGTTTGTAAGAATTATAAGAATGCTTTCAACTGAAACCTTTCTGCTGGAAATCTTATGAGTTATATGATCTGCATTTGTAGTTACTGGGAAAAGAGTGGCAAGATGTTATTGAGGTTAGTGGCTGCGCTTTGTTTGAGAGTATTTTCAATGTCATGAGACTAGTGTCTTCAAACACAATATCTTGTTCAACAATATCATGTTTGGCTCTATATTTGTAGGATTATCAGCAAAAACACCCGGAAGTGACTGTGCTTGATCCTCCAGGTGCAATACAACGTATACATAATCGACAATCGATGCTTCAGGGTTTGGCAGATTTGAACCTGTCTGATTGCAGTGGTAATAATTCACATTTGTTATTTTGACATTAATATCAACCACTTTTGTAAATTTCTCTATAAGTGATTTTTGTAAATCTTTGTAGGCAGCATTTTTGTTCCAAAGCAAATGGTTGTCTTGAAAGATTCAGCATCTAGTGCTGATAAAGTTGTGGAAGCTGGTCTTAAATTTCCACTAGGTACAACAACTTAATATATATATTATTTTCACTAAATGTTTTTTTTGGTAATTTTTTTTTTCACTAAATGTTCTTTATATAGAAATGGTTCAAACTTGATTCTTGTAACTTTGTCTCAGTTGCAAAGCCACTCTGGATCGATGGAACAGCGAAGGCACATCAGTTGTTTTTAGCTTATGACAGGCGGTCACTTGCAGAACTTGATCCGCCTTTAGTCCTGCAAGAATTTGTTAATCATGGTATTATTGTGTTTTACGTTACACTTTAGTATGCAATTTTTATTAAAATGCATCTTAGTTCACCTTTTGGTGTCTAAAGGTGGAGTTATGTTCAAGGTATTTGTGGTGGGTGAAACTATAAAAGTTGTGAGGCGGCTCTCTCTACCGAATATTAGTAACTGCGAAAAAGCTAAAGTTGATGGCATCGTCAAATTCCCAAGGGTTTCATGTGCTGCTGCTTCAGCGGATAACGTAGACGTGGACCCTAGTATTGCTGAGCTACCTCCAAAGGCTTTCCTCGAGGCCCTTGTGAAAGAGCTACGAATCTTATTGGTAGAACTTGCTTGCTGCTTCTTCACATTTTTGCCAATGCAAGTCTGTTTCTTGTTGTTTAAAGTTGTCGGTGCTTCGTTTCGATAGGGACTTCGGCTTTTCAACGTAGACATGATCAGGGAACATGGGAGCAAGAACGTGTTTTATGTTATTGACATCAATTATTTTCCTGGTTTGTATTTGAAGCCTTTTGTTGTGTGAATATGATTTTGTCAGCGAAGCAGATAAGTGAACTGATTAGTTTTGAAAATCTCCATTTGCAGGATACGCAAAGATGCCAGATTACGAGCAAGTATTTGTAGACTTCTTCCACAATATGGCGCAAGCCAAACAAAAGAAGATACATTGTAAATGAAGGAAGTTTGAGATGTTGTTCTAAGGAGAGGTTTAAACTCATGTGTGGAGCAGTGGTTAAAGCATAGTGACTAAACTAATGATGGATTTGTACATAATTAATTAGCTCTCATTCCTTTTGGAACCTTTATCAGATAACAAGTTTTGATTAGTGTTTCTGAGTATTTTATAGGTTTAGAGAACTTGATGTTGTACTCAATTTACCACACAAAATCATCCTCAATATTAATCCAAGATCCCGAACCAACCGATAACCAAAAAATCCAATCTTTATTCAATCTATAAAAATATCTGAATAGATCTTGTAAAGTTATATATTATTTAAATCCGTCCAAAATCTAAAAAATTTAAAACTCTAGAAAGTTTGAAAAGCCTAAAAACTGATTCCAAGAGCAAAACTAATACCCAACACTAATAAATTTCAAAATTTTAATTTTATGTTTATCTATCTATCTATCTTCTATTATTATAAAGAAGAGATTCCTTCTTTTTCGTCCGTCCACGTCATCAATTTGGGTGACCACATGTTGACACCTGTTCCTCTGTTTTGAAACTCTGTGTTTTGTTAAACTTTTCCTTTGATCGATTGGGCTTTGAAAACACTGGTCCGTTATCTATGAGCTTCCACGCAGCCTGTTGTGTCTGGTATCAGCTTCGCAAACACTGACGTCTAGGACTTAGGGTTTTGACAGACTCTGCAACCAGCCGAAATGAAGATAGACCGTGTTTCCTCTGCGTGACAGGTCGGTTCCTCGCCTCAGCCGTTCGCCTCAAAAGGTTGTCGGATGCTCTGCTTCTAGGATGCTGGCAACATCAACAAGGATGGTGAAATGTACTAGAATAAGGAGTGTTGCTTTTGCTTTGGGTGTGTTTGGTCGAGGTTGAAAAGCTTCAGAATTGTGCCTCAATTCATGAGATGATCTTCATAAGTTGTGGTACGTTCTTCTCAATACATAAACATGGTGACGATTGAAACTATATCAAAAGGGTGGTGCTATGTCTCATGTTCCTGGAAACTTCAGCGTGGGCTTTCATCCATCGTGTGTGGAGCCTGTCATGATGAAAAGAATATGTAAGGCGTTATAAGGTAATCTATGATGCAATGGTTTTATACATGATTTAAATATGCTCACAAGAAAAAAAACAGCATAACCCCAACACCTTACCAGTCGTCTCTCTCTCTCTTTGATGACAAGTACCGGGTGGAGATGGCATTAGCAGATGCATCTGACTCTGCGCTATTTGTGGCTTTCGATGCTGGGATGAACAAGCTGACCAATTTTCATGTTGCAAGAGTGTCTCAAGTCATGATAGCATCCATTAATTAACATATGTTATTGTGTGTAGTTTTAATAAAATTAAAGGACCGTTTAACTATTTAGCATTTTTCAGCAGGGCGCCGGGATGAGGATGCACATAACATAGCCCTCCCATATCTCACATAACATAGCCCTCCCATATCTCGTCTTCTCATAAGGCAACAAACTCTCGTGTCGTCTCACAATCTCAGAGATCGGAATGGAGACCAATGGGAAGTGGATCAAAACAGGGGCTGAGCTCTAAACCAGCACACTCCCAGGTGTCCCACACTCCATCTCCTAGACCTCAAAGAGAAGGAGATCCATGCCTGCAGACAAACTCCCAAGCAAACCTGCAGAACTCTGGAGCTAGAAGTGTACCTTCACTAGACCGTCGTTCGGCTCTAGAAAGATTATCTCTTCCAACTGAAAGGGTACCGCTCCTCCAAGATGGAATGGCCAATGCTGATTCTGGCAGACTCCAAGAAGTTAATATCCAATACCTGGAGGAGACTTTACCTACACTGGCAGGAAACAGCGTTCCTTCCTCCTCACGGAACCCTCCTCGCAGCAGTTTGGAAAAGCTTGTTGCTTCTCAGGATCGGTCTCCAATTCGTACTCTCAGCGAAGACAGAGTACATGTCTCTCTCAGGCAGGGCCCTCTCTTCGACTCAGAGGAAGATTCAAACCTTAATCTTCCACGGGATGAGGATGCACATAACTCTAGTTACACCTGCTAACTGATTCATTATATAATGTCTTTTCATAATTTTATGAATTGATAAAATCTAACTTTAGCTCTTTTGACCTGCTTTAAAGTGCATGTAGCCTTCCTTTTAAACCATACGTCCACTACAAGAAACATGTGTTCATTTCCTTTTATTGATTTTGTTAACCCAAACAACTGGTAAGAGAGAAAAATTTCTTGCAATTCCTTCGCGACTTCTTACAGATAGAAAAGTATACCAACTCATTCTCATCATATTACTGATACATCATAGAAAAACGGTTAGAGTAAAATACACTTGATCCCAGATTCAACGGAGTCTTATCTGAGGTCACAATACATATCACACTTTCTGCAATCAAAATATTTGTGCTGTAAAACAACTTGCGGCACAAGAATACTCTGTTTCGTGAGGTTTGTTTGTGTACGTTTCTTTGAAAGCTGGTTAAGCTCATTTGTGTACGTTTACTTACATTGACTGCATGTTCACCAAAAAGATGTTTAATGAATCCCAAAAGTTATCCACACTTACCTTCATCTAAAATAAAAAAATGTTTCAGGACACCCATTAGTTGTACTACTGTTTCACCAAAGTGTTTCTTAAGAATTTGTTGCATCTAATGTAACTAAAATCAACGCAATACTATACATGAGGAGAAGTCCACCACCACTGGCACCCGAGAGGAAACAGCTCGGAGAGGTACATCTCAGTGTAACTCTGTAAGCGTATAAGCTGCTAGAATCCACAGTCTCACATATTCTTAATTTTAATCACCCGCTTCAAGTTAATAACCTTTTAAAATTTTAAACTATGCAGCAAAATTAGCTCGCCAGCTGAGAAACCAAAATCGGTATTCTATGAAGCAAGTGGAGCTGAGAGAAACTGAAGTTTAGAAGGTGCGTACGAGCCATGAGAGTCTTCAGAACACCAATGGAAAAGATCACCAACTCACTCCATGGATGATTTTAAAATGGCTTAATGATGATAGAGGAGAAGAAGTTGTCATCGTTGGTCTAATAGATTTGAAGAAGAATAGGAGATTGGGTCTAAGGTGGAGAATACTATTATAGGCCCCAACTTTGTATTCTTTTTGGCATATCTCAAGAAGTATAGATAAGGACTTTCCTATTTCCAGAATTCCAGATGCTGCAAGTGGATAAATACAATCATTTGACACTCAGTCACTTAGATTTCAAGAACAAAAATAACCTTTTTGAATCTTTTTTTATTTGTTGAAAATACTCATTTTTAAAGAATTGAATGATAAGTATCATCACACAAATTATATATAATGTTATATTAGGTTATGCAATATCAATCCATGTTTACCCTGCAAATTTCTTTTTTTTTTTAAAAAAAAAAATATGAAATGTTTATTAAAACATATATTAAAAGATCAAATGTCATATAGATGAAAACACCATACAATAAAACAAACTTCCTAAACCAAAAAAGTAAAAGCCAAAGTGGTCGTATATTTACTAAAAAGTGTACAATAATAAAATAATATTAGCAACATATATAACTGTAATCTAGGTGTTAGAATTACATACATAACTGTAATTTGAAATATTTGAACCATAATAGTTATATATATGATATCCATTCATTAGAAAGTAATTTATCAATGAATAAAATGGATAAGAAAAAAACTGTTATCTTTTCCTTTTAATATTAAGATAAACATAATTTATAATATAAATAATAAATATACACAGTGAAAATTAAGATTAATTAAAATTAAAATCAGATAAACATTTTAAAATAGTTATTAAAATCGATGATATACTATGTAATTCTTTCATATATGAACACGCTCATGCATCCTGAGCTATAACATTCTAGTTTATATAGTTTTTCTAGAATTCATAGTTAGACTACGAGTATAATTAAATGATCTTACTTTTGATAAACACACAATCCAACATGCCACAAGGCCACAACTATACTAGCTTCGGAACCTTGCCCATTATATGGCTTAGTACACAAAGGCCATTATTATTTTATTTATTTTATTCTAACTTCTGGAATTGATGTATGATTAATTGGTTTATTGAGCTTGAGAAAAATAGTGTGCTTGATGACAAAAGACAAAAAAATATAATCATGTGCTATAAATGAAAAAGACACTATTGATTTTAGTTTTGGTCTATAGTTGAATCCGGTCATCGCATAGATTTGAACTTTCAATCAATTGATTTGCAAATCTTAAGATCATTCATAAAAAGTAAGTTGTTTGATATAATTAATAGATCAAACTTATTATGTATGTTAAAAATACCAAGAAAGTTGTGCATGAATGATTTGTTTTGTATTGTTTAGAACATGAGATTGTTCAACGCACCTTCTGTTTATCTCTAATGATGATATCATCCCCAGTGACTACACTTCTCTCTTTCTGTATTTTTTGTCATCTATATTAATTGTATATTTAATGATTTTAAAAAGAAATTTTAAAAATTAATAACTAAGTTTGATGTATATTGTAAAATTATAAACTTTAATTTAGCAACATATTTAAACGTAAAATTTTATCATAATTTATCTATATATTTAAAAAATAATATTTTTTTCTTATTTTTTCGTATTTTTTGCTTATTTTTTTATGTTTATATTTGAGCTATGTTCGACCGCTTCACTTGCACATGCTATTAGATGGTTCTGCTCTTTCTCTATCTCGATATGCTTAACGTTGTCATGATCTGTCTATTAACTATATGGTCTATAATCATCAACATAAATTATATGCAACCAAATTTCCCACTCACAAACTTGAATCCAACATTTTATCACTTGTCTAGCATTCACAAAATCGTCAACATTTAATGAAACATCATCTTCATTCCCTCTTTTCTATATCCATCATCTTCCTTCATCTTCTTCACAAGTTTTCAAATTTTCTCACCTTCTTCTCATCTTTAACTCTCTGATTCTAAACCTTTTTTCAAATGGGATCTAGCTATGAGGATCCAATCAGTCCCAAGTGGTTCTGGTTGATAATCCTATGCTTGTTTGTTGTTGCTTGTTATTAATCTACTTCGTACATGTGACATAGATTAACATGGACGTGAATAACATGATGGTGTTCTTACATATTCTAATATTTTTAGAGGTTTTCCACTATATTCTATAATACTTAGTGTAGTTAGCAAACTTTTCATTCTATGAGACAATAAACTATTTATTTTTTTTA